GCCATGCCTCCACAGCGGAGTGTAATCTCTTGATTCAGACTTCGTGCTCTGTGGAGGCGCTTCTTGGCTGTCGGGAAGGTCGCAGAATGGCGGCCTCCAACACCTGAGTGTAATTCCTCCTTGCATTCAGACTTTCATGCTCTTGTGGAGCTACTTGGCTGTCCGGGACGACTCTGCGTTCTATGGCACAAGTGCTAGCATTTGCCCTGGAGCAATGTCGGAGAACGGCGGCCGAAACGTCGGCCCGGCAGCCAGACAGCTCCTGAAGAGTCGTTCGAGTGGGTGGATGGGGGGGGAGGGGGGATCTCAACCTGCGAGGGTTGACGGGCGGAGCCGCCAGGCGGTGGAGGCCCAGCGGCTGGCGAGCGTGTCGGGCGCCGGCCCGCAGGGCGGGGCGTCGGCGGCGGCGGTCAGCTGCGGCAAGGCGCAGCGCGGCCGAGGGGCGCGCGGGGCGGCGCCTGGGCGGCGGCGCTGGCGTCCTGGCTCGGGCCGCCAGGCCGCTGCGTGTAGGTGTACATCTGCGGACCCAGCTCCAGCTGCACCTGGAAGTCGGCGTGCGGCCCGAAGCGGAAGCCCAGGCCGAGGCGCGAGTCCGTGCCTGCAAAAGCACACGGGGTGGCGCCGAGGAGGGTCCGCAAAACGTTTTTTTTCATACGCAGTGCGCGAAACGCGGTTTCCGTGTGCGAAAGAGCTAATATTTTCACAGTGTGCGAAACATTGCGAAGCGTGTGCGAAACATCTATAACGATTCGCAATTGTCTTTCGTTTTGACGGCATCTTTGTTCATTATTTACAAACAATAGTGTGCGACACTGACTGGAATTCATTTACTGTTGTACAAGGAAGATATTTCTAGTTATTTGATATTTAATTTATATTCCTTTAGTTGACACACTGTGTTTAACGCACGTGTGTTAAAAAATATTCTATGCAACACGGCCGCGAGGTGATTCCCGCACTTGCCTCTTTGTCGTTTTCGCTCGTCTCGTGTGTGAATCACCTGTCGCGCCCTTGTTATGTAAACTACTATTTTGGACGGGTTCCATCTACACCCTACCTGTAAGTTTCGCGCAATTTCTGCATGAAGTTCAAGCAAATTGTATAAAAGGAACATTTTCTCAATTCCAGTTTCTATATTTTTTCAAGTTTTTTTTTTCGCAGATAGAACAAGGACCGCTCAAAAGAAGGCTCAGGTCTCATTTTCGCCAATATCTCCGAATTTTCGGAAACAGAAAATTTAGAAATTATGCGAGAAAGTATGTGATGTGTACCATTGATTTGTAGATTAGGAAAATGCCATAGAAAATATTTGATCATCTAACTGTAGAGAATACTGCGGTGTATTATTTATATCTCCTGAAATGATTTTTACCTCCTGAAATTTTTCAACGTTAAAACAAAACTACTCCCGGAACCTCAGTACCAGTGTCTCATTGAAGAGTAGGTTTTCGCCTTTAAAATGGTGTCGTATGTGAATGATGCTCACCGAAAGGAGATAATGACTGAGCAATAAACATTAACACTTTTACTTTTATAATTAAAATACTTTTTGAATCCAAATTTACCAAATGACTAAAATATTTTTAAAAAATAGTATGTAATATTGAATTTCTAATTCAAGGTACTGCCATAATGTGCATGCAAATATTAGAAGTACACGTCCTGGTTTTTCAATCACGAGAGACATTGCCATTCCGATTCTTTAAATGTACTGATTATGGGCAACAGCCGTTCGAGGCAATTTCTTCTACGCGAGAAACAAATTACCTCTTTTCGCTGCCTCTCTTATGTTTTCAAAATGTGTACTTCATATTGTTAGCGGTGCGAAACATATCTAATCTCTTGAAAGTTTCAAATTTTATTTCGTATCAGATATGTACGAATGGTTGCGTATCCTCTACTACGTGCAAATAACATCTTAATACTTCAATTGCCTTTCCCAATCATTTGATTGATTTAGAGATCATCAATTTTAATTGCAATGCTTTCAGACTTCTGATTAGTCTCGCTGAGTCAATTGAATAGTTTTTTTCAGAAACCCGTCAAACGCCAAAATCATAAACACGCATTAGCGACTTATTATTGTTTCACGAGGTTTGTCACACGATGTGTTTGTCACACTTCGTTTAGTGCAGATTTATACGAAACATATTCATTTATCAACTGCTTTAATAAATAAATGTATATTTTGAAATCCGAAAAATTGGGTGACTTTTCTCAACTTTCTCGAAATGAGGAATAGGGCGATTTACGGGTTTCTGAAATAAACGATTAAATTAAGAGGCACACTGTACGTACCATGCCAAATATAATATTCTTTATCTGGGATCTCAGAAAAGCAATATTAACGAGATATATTAATGTATCACGTATATGATCATAATGCATCAAATGCACTCAATCTTTAATATGCAAGAAGGCATTTCGTTTCTCAAAATCTAACTCTAAAAAGTATCTCTAGTAACTACAGAACTTACCTTTCAATATTGGAGGTATATTAGAATAAATGACTGAAAGAATTGTGGGCAGTTCTTGGGGGACGATAAGAGCTTCAGCAACTGCAATAAAAGAAAAAGAATATATTAGAACATTAACAGATCTAATTTTTACTTGAAAATCAAAGTATACCTTAAAGTATTATATTAATAAATTAATTATATTTAAGTAATTGTTTAATTAATTAAAACAATATTTATTAATTTTATTAATTTTTATTAAATTATTGTATATTATAAAAAGTACCTTGTCTGGTTTGTGCTTGGTTCTCGGGTTTGTTATAAACATTTTAACTTTTTTTATTATTGTTATACTATAATTTTATTGTTCTTGTATTTTATTCATTTAACTCAAGTTACAATATATATGTAAGCATTTCAAAAATTGCTTTAAAACTGTTACATATGTTTAAAAAAATTAAAAGATTTAGCTATGTTTAAAATTGTAATACGTTTTCGCCAACATTTAAGTTCTACCTGAGAATGCATGCTCATAAGGCATGCGATACGTTATAAGAAAATTTATAACGACAACAATTGAGTAAATTATACGCGAAACTCATTTTTATTGCCTTTAAACCATTGCGGTTAACACTAAATTAAGGAATATTTTATGTTTAATACATAATTTATATCAGTTTACAGGTATTATTTCTTCATTCATGCAATGCAACAATGAATTATGATACACTAATTTAAGTCAGTGTTGGTTTAATGTGTTTATTTATTTTTACTTTGATTTATTATTTTTTCCACACATGTACAGAAATTTTGTCACATTTATTTATTGTAGCACAGAAGATGAACGCAATATGTCTAAAAAATCTTTATTTCATCTTAAAAAAATATTATTGTAACATCTGAGATTTCTATTCATAGATTTATTTATTTAGTCAGAAACAATAACTGTATGTGACGTAATTGGGAGACAATCATCAGCGCACGTTTTCTTGAGTTCCAGAATCCCTTCCCGTCATTTTTACTATAAATAGTTGAAAGATGAGTAAAAGTCAAAGATAAATAAATGAAAATATAATTTAGAAAAGTGCGAGATTAGCAATACTTGTAAAAAGTAGACATTTTCGTTTCCGAGTTATAAAAATCTTATTTACAACGGTAAACGAATTGATTTTTCTGCATTGCTTACAAAATAGTAACTCGCCCTTATCTCTACTCCTACAAGCAAAAGGAGAGTTCAACAAAAAGTGCGCATAGTGAAGCTACACAAGAGCAACACAATCCTACAATACTTCCTGTTAATTATGATGAGAATAATAATAATAATTCTTTATTAGTACTCTTTATTAACGCTAAGCATTTAATTTTAGAACGTCAGAAAAATAATACAAAAAAATTGTGAAGTACAATATAAGTAAATATTAATAGACAAAAATAATAATAGCAATTAGGATTTAAACATTATCATGTAATATTAGTATATGAATAATTTGTGAGAGGTTTATACTTTTAAGAAGGCTAAGTCCATGACATAAATTATATAATCTTTAATTATATATTATTATTAATTATTTCTGGTAGAGATCTAGAAAACAATCAAATATTCAATAAAAGCGGGAGCTTGATCGTCACTGTAGCGACGCCATTACAGTGATGTTCAAGCTCCCGATAGGGTGAAAACATCACAGCTGAACAAGTGTCAACATTTTATCGGAAATATAATTGTTCTTGGATGGAGCATTTGTTCCACGTTTCCCGCTTCTGCTACGCCCTCCGGGGTTGGCCTGTAACGTGTGATCTGGTGAAGTTCGAGAAAGCCGTCTCCCACGTGGGCGGCGCGTGGATCCCTCCCTTCCCTTCCCCTCCCTAACCCCCTCTCCTGCCCCTCCAAGGCCCCCCGCGGCCGCGTTGCACTTTCTCCGCTGCGTTGCGTCGCCCGGTGGGAGAGGGCGCAGTGGACCAGGAACTTCAACGCGCGGCACTAATGGAATTCATATGACAAGGTGTCGTTCATGTTAATAGACTTAATATTGTGAAATCAGTGGCGAATATGAATTGGGGGGGGGGGGGAAATGATCGATTGGATCCGCCCCTGCATCAAATCACCTACACTTACGTGTTCGGGCTCAAAAGCAATTACACATTCGCGCTGCTGCGCCCCTTAATATTCTACTAACTTGTATACAATGTTTTCTTTCAGCACTAGTAACATACATACGCAAAGAAGAATTATTATTACGACCCTTCTAAAATTACGTACCAATGTATGTAACTGTCTATTGTGTAACTTACCCTTTCTGCACACCTGGGATGAGTATAGTAGATGAATGGGCAATACGTGGTAATGATGTTGATATGATGTGAGTAATGATTAATGGTTGAATGAGAGGCTGAGGAAATTGAAGAAACTCGAGAAAAAAGCCGATTGCAAACTTACTTTTTTCTTTCACAAATTCGAGATGGCTTGACCGCGATTTAAACACAGTTACGAAACAAGAGAGAGCAGTTGGAACATAAGCCTCGGGGATCTAAAATTAATCTCTTTACTTATGAAATGAAGCCTCATTCTTCCTTGATTGACTCCTTCCTCCAGAGTCTATATCCCTGGAGCAAAATAACCTAGTTAGGCCCTTGTTCGAACCCCGATACTCAGAAGAGGAAGGCATGCTCCCTCAATACTGCTCCATGGATCACTACTGTGGATGACAAGGAGAGCATCAAGGCAACAATTTATGGTCAAGGATATCGGTGATGACGAACTTGCAGTTTACATCTCGTGGATTTATTGATTGATTAGCTGATTTTTCTGGGCACGCGTGCTGCTATGGTTGAAATCCAGTTTCTGCAGCGAACCTATCCCGGGAGGAGGCAGTGGTTCCATACCTGATGGATGGTGAAATCCCACCAAACTAAAGTCCGGTAAAATATCTAGGAATGCATCTAGATAGACGTTTAACGTGGAAAAAACACATAACCACTAAAAGAAAAGAACTAGACCTCAAGTTTAAAAAGATGTACTTTTTACCGATTGGAGCTACCAACCTCTAGAATTCTCCTCCAGTCCGAATTCGAAATTTGCTATCTGGCTAGCTGAAAATCCTGTCTCGTCGGGTCACCTAGTTGATTGCCCGAACCATCGCATCCGGTTAATTTTTTGAAAAACTATGCAAGACAGAACTGTATTACAATTTGAGTTTTCAATACTGGGTACCCATGGAAGTTGTAAAGTAGAAAATCAATGAAAATGTATCAACATAACACATTTGATATTTTCAAGTTTTTCATTCGTATATAATGTTTCCTCGCAAAGATGTCATTGTAATGACTACTAGTCTGAAATTTTAATAAGACTGAGTACACCTTCTATTTTTTTTATCTAGAAGTATTTAATTTTTAATATATTCGCTAGCGAAAAATAGCACATTTTCGTTGTACGAAAACTTTTTCCTTGCACATTATTTTCTGCTACATTAGCAAACATTCTGTTTGGAATTACATTTCACAAACAAATCGTCTCCGAAAACGTACCTGACGGTATAGTTTGCACAGTATGCATTCCTGAGGAACGATAAGATGTATGGAATAAAGCGGATAAAAGAAAGAAAATGCCATGAAAACGAAGAAATGAAGAAATAAATATTTACTATTTAATGCTTTCAAGTACGTAAATGTTTCATTTATTCACCTCTTTCGTCTGGACGTTTCCTTTTGGTTATCAATAAAGCTAATTTTAGTTCAAATGTCTACATCGTATTCGAATTCAGCACACCGTAAGCCGAGCATACACAAATGATTCATTAAAGTGATTGTGCCATTGTGTTAGTCCTGAACCACTGCGCAGTGGAAGGGGTTGGGAGGGGGGTCTGAGGCACCGTGGGCATTCCCGCTTGCCGCAATCACGCGGCGCCACTCGAGAAAGTCTCTTTCCAGGAGATCAGCGAAGGCAAATCTTGAGACGTTTGCTTTGTCCTGTATTGACTGGCAATGCGTAACGAGATTTCGGTTTGTATGAAACGTTTAACTATATAATGTAATGATAGGAGATTGTAGTATTAGTTTAACAGTCATGAACTGTTGAAAATCCAAATATTTGTGGCTACTAGTTTTTTATTTATTTTATGAGGATCTTTAGATAGATTAGATATCTTCATCAGAAGAACTGTTGTCAAATTTCTGGCTAGCGATTGAAAATCTGATGATGATGATAATGTTGGCGATGCTATCGAAAGCTACACACATAAAAATAAATGTGATGTTCCTGACCCCTTTATTTAGAACAAACGATGAAACACTTTTAGTTCTCTGAATATCGTTTCCTGACCTATTTGATCATCTCTTACACCTTGAATTCCTTCACTTCACTTTGTATCCTTCGTTCTACAATTAATGAATTTGAAACTAGTGGTGCAACATACTTACGTGCATTATTTGAAATGACTACGTAAATATTACAATACTACATGAATATGCAAAAGAGTGTCCACCAGCAAATATTCTTTATCCGCGATGGTATTCAAACTAAAATGTTGTTCGAATTGACACGCCATTTACGTTACCTCTATTCCATCATCCTCACAACTAAACTGAACCCTGCCGACGCTTTAAACAATTGAACATTTGCATTTCGAATTTTAAAAATGTCAGAGATTTCTTTACATTATTACAAGATCTAAATTTGAAGAACAGATTTCATTAAGAAAAATATCCTAATCATCAACTTTATAGTTTCGCAATGTTAATATTTGTTTGAATTTTTTTGAAAATACAGAGAGTTTGTTGAAAATAAGACCAGCTTAATTTTTAAACCTCCTTTGCCGTTTTTAAGAAAGTAATTGTTTTAAAAATGCAAATTTACGTCAAATCTACTTATATTTTCGATAAATTGTTCGTGACCTTATTTGTTTGTTATTTGCTTTTGAAGAACATATTTTATTCAGAAAAATCTGTATTCTCAATATTCTAGTTGTAGGGAGACTACGGAAATATTGAATATTTGGAATTTTCAAAAGTTCAGAGATTTCAAAGAAAAGTATTCTCTTAAGCGTTTCTACAGTATCTGAGGACAAAATTTCATTATATTATTTTTCGCCATTTTTGAGGTAGTTTTGGAAAATGTTGAGGTTCTTGTGCAATACTACCAAAAATAAAAATATCTGCTTTAAACTCGCAGAACCTTAAGTTCGATCAGATAAATTGGGGAATACACGAGAAATAATATTTCACGAAATATTATTTCCTAATAGTACGTAAATTTTTTAATTTCCCTCAACAAATAACAAATACATTCAATAAATACATTCACAAATAATTTGTGTTAAGTACATTTAATTTCAAATAACATACGAATGTTAGGTTCTCGTAGGCAGCGCGAGAAATTGGTAAATATCCCACCTTATCCTACACAGTCAATCTAAAATTTTTAAATTTGAAATGGAAAAAAAATACGAAGTAAAAATCTTCGACTACTTAGAGAAGCCTCTATTACTGAATATTTATTGCATAGAACGACCCTTCTTTCAACAGCTTTCTAGATTTTTTCACCGTGGTTGCACAGTTATTTCTAGCAAAAAACTTTACAACCTAACTGTTCAGTGGTTTTACAAGTTCGTAGAATTCCCCTTTTTTTCGATAGCTACTGTTTTACATGTCTTTATGGCGTCATTTAGAATAACTAGGCATTTACAGCTCAATTCGTTCTCTGGAGAAGAGAAATTCTCTGTCTCAGTTGTATTCTGCTTGAATGACACACTTTGATTTAACTCTGTAATTCTGCATACAATATACAATCCTTGGCTGCAATATTTTAAGAATGGATTCTGGCAAAATGGACACCGTCACTTTTTGGTTTATCCTTAGCAGACCTTCCATTTGTCAAAAGTGAAGAGCGGTAAATGTATCCCTTACTCTATCTGCAAGAGAATAATATTCAAGATCACATTCTCATGTCCTTCTTTATTATCATTACTAAATTCAATTTTATAAGGTATTTTCATATTTGTGTTAAGATCATTCGATAATCTTTGTTTTGTAACACCGTTGCCTCACAACTTCTGGTAAAATTGTTTCAAAGTTTTAATTTTTCTAAAGAAAATTGAATAACATTGCTACTGACCGTCGAGTAAATCATGCAGAAGTAGGATTTAAGTCAAATAAAGAGTGATTATGTTGTAAGATATATATTAATGGAGCAATTATCTTCATCAAGTAGGTGGAGAAACCCTAACTCGTGGTCACTTGCTGCATGCCGCGCTTGCAAATCTTCTTCCGTGTCAGTTTTTGTTTCGAGAGATTAGTGGAGCACTATAATATGGAGTTTGATAATTATCCAGAAAATGTTTAAAATGTCCCAAAAGCGTCATGTAAAGTAGCCCAAAAATTCAAAGAATTCATTTCAAACTCGCAGGGTCTTGAATATATCATGAAAAATACGAAGTTTTCATTTTAGCACGAGTAGTTAAGGGCGCTAGCGTTGTCCACAAACGACGAAAGTACGACCAGACTGACAGACAGACAAACGGACAGACGGCTGGACTTTAAAAAATCGGTTTCAGGGGACCCGAAAAACTGCATTTCCTTTGAAATCTAGAAATCTATATTATGTAGCACTATACAACTTTCTTTGTACTACGTATGTAGTACTTCAAGTACAAACATAACAAAATTTAGCATTGTGTGAGATATTTTACAACGAGAGGAAGTAGTTTCCATTTTGACTCGTGAAGCGGTGAGTACACAGAGTATTTTTGTTTTCATGTTTCGTTCTTCATTTTCTTCTTTATTTCCTTTGTACGCGCACAATTTACACTCAACGCTATAATTTGACTATTTCAGGTCGATTTTAGGCGCCCATGATTGCAATACAGATGAGCCAGGCGTACAAATTCCATCAAGGTCAAATCCTCTTCAGGTTTTCATTGATGTTTTCTACCAGATTCTTCCACAATTCGATGCCAACATTTTGCTCTCTAACACTCATGAATATAGCATTTTCTCGAAAACACACGAACGCATCACTTTTTGCTGATATTAAATACATTCATGTAATTTAACATTTGTCACAGATAAGTTTGGATAGCAGGAGACTGAAATAATGTAGCAAAGATTCTCAAAATCCACACGCTGACACATTCCATCGAGGAAAAAAGATCACGCACGCACGAATCAAATACGTTTTTTAAAAAAATGCTCTTCAAGTGTATTCCACAGTCACTTTGAATAGAGATAACCACGGAAATATCATCAGTGCTATTCAGTATCCTGTAGCCGAACTGCTCTCCTTCCAAGACTATGGCGAGGGTATTCCACACTCGTTGATTCAAGTGGAGTTTATGGTGGACAAATCGGGTGCGCGGCAGGTTCTCCTGTTTTCCTAGCCCCTTGTTCTTTCATCTTCACCACAATCAGGTACAAATTCACCTACATAGTCTCACTGATGCTACACATCATCACCATAATCAATACATCTCAAGACAAACGCCTTTTCGAGGAGACACATATTGCGATTTCTGAATTCGGAACTACGGTCGCTGTGCAATCTTCACGAAAATGCTTGCCCTGTGATGAGCGGATGACTCGATTTTGGGGCGTGGAGTTGTGTGGAAGCACGTGGAAGCGATGACGATGTGAAGATTTTCGACACAGTAGCCAACCAGGTGGGACGAATTCAGCCTCTGTCTGGACGAGAATTCTAGCTGTCAGCTACTCTGATCGGTAGCTTTCGGTGATTTCTCCGACCAACACAAGGCGAATGCCGGAGCAGTACCCTAACAAACAGACAACGGAACGCGCGCAAACTTTCCTTCCTCTTCCTTTTCCTAATCTCACCTCATTCTTACACACACACACACACACACACACACACACACACACACATAAACTACACTAGAACACGTGTCGGGAGACTAGTCAGGAGCTTACAGCTTGTTCCGGGTGGGGCAGTGCCCGCTGGTGAGAAAATCTTCGCGAGCGGAAGATAGGTTGGTGCCGAACCACGCGCGAGGGACGATCACCGCCACCTCCCGCGATAAAACATGCACTAGACTTACGGAACTACTGATCTTAACAATTGGCGCGCCCGGAATCACCAATCAGTGAAAGGGCGGAGGCGAGTGGAAGAGGTATCTACTCACGCGGGGCGGCGAGCAGCGCAGCGCAGCGGCGACGGCCGTGGCGGCGGGGGCAGTGGCGCCGGCGGCCAGCAGCCGGCGGGGCGGCCGCCATGGAGACGAGGAGCGGAGCTGCTGTGGCGGCCCGCGGTGCGCGCGGCGACTGGCTGCGGGCGCTGCGCGGGCGCGGCGATCGCCAGTGAAACCGCGCGATTGTGGGCCACGCGGTCACCGCCTGAGTGAGTCTCCGCCGCTCACTCTTCTCCGACGCAACGTGAAGCGCACTCGCCGCCCAACCACCGCCTCCGCCGCCGCGTCCGCCATCGCCTCCACCAGTCACCGCTGGCGCCGCCCGGCCACCGCTTCCACCGCAGCTGCCTTCAAAACCGCTGCCTTCACACCGCCTCCATCGTCTCCGCTGCCTTCGCCGTCACCACCACCCTCTCCACAGCCTCCGCCGCCGCCGTTCCCACTGCCGCCGCCACCGCTACCTTCGCCGCCGCCTCGCCGCCTCCGTCACCGCCTCCGTCACCGCCTCCGTCACCGGCCTGCGCCTCCGCCTCCACCCCCGCTCCGTCACCGTTCTCCACCACCGCCTCTGCCACCGCCGCCCTCAGCCGCCTCAGCCGCCTCAGCCGCCTCAGCCGCCTCAGCCGCCTCAGCCGCCTCCACCAACGCTGTCCGCCTTCGCCTCATCCGCTACCGCCTCACCCGAAGACGAGGTGGGGTCCTCCTCCCAACCAACAGCGTTGAACATGTGGTTAAACATACCGACCTGCGTACTGCAGGCGGGTGCAGACTTCAGAGGTTGCGAGATCGAATCCCGTGTAAAAGGCGCGGATGACAAAGATTGCAATAATCGTGGCAAGGAAGGTACTGGCTAATCACTACTTTATCCCACCATATCATTACTTTCTTCATTCATTCACTCATAGCTGCTAATGCTTCCCACTCGAGGACAAAGTAATTGAGTACATTCCCTGATCTAAGGGGGTTCACGAAATGAGTACCTTTGATAATAATTTAAATGTGTGAAATTAGTACATTTATCATACTTACATATTAAAACTAAATAAATTCCATTTTTTATTTATCTTTCTTGGCCGTCTATTTTAGTTTCACAAATATTATGATCATTGATGAAATAAAATACTTTCCAGTGGAAGTTGTTATGACTTTAAATTTGACAAAACCGGCAAATTTGGCAATATACTTCTTCCATGCCCCGAATAATTCTCTCATAATGAAGGACTAGGGAGTGCGCAAAGATTTATAATGCAAATTTTTGGAGGAGGAGAAAAAAAACATGTTTACAATTTACATGGCATTGTTTGGCAGGAATGTAACAAATATTTTATGACACTGTGACATATATATTTATTCATTTGCTTACTCTAACGAATAGAAAATCAATTAGAAAAAGCTAGGACATCGTACGTATTAAGAAAGGAATATTATACTCAATAATAGCAGTCCATCAGACAGTATCTGTAATTGCATGATTTATTCATGTGTTTGTGTGTTGATTGATATGTGTGTATGAGCGTTTGCTATCTTTTATTCGAATGGGGTGGTAGCGTCATCTTCATTCACTTTACTAGTCAGAATAGGTTATTCAAGATATTGAGGCCAACGCTTTGGAAAACGCCAGTCATGTTGACAGTCAGGATTTTGTAAGGGAAATTGTGCTGAGTATTCTCCTCCCTTACTTCCGCTAACCATTATCCCGTAATAAAAATATGTTTTAGGGTATATTCGTTATGTTTCTTGGAAGTATCTAATGTTTCATATATTATTTAGGGCAGAGTAATATATATTGCAATAGAATATTGATGGAACATCTGGGTTCATCGTTCACTTTAGACTTCATGCATATAGGTTTACTGCAACATGTAGTCCCGTGAATGCATTCAATGGATCCTTTGAAGTTCAGACAGACGGAGTACAATATGTTACAAAACGTCTTCAGAAGCTGGCTATTGAGATATCTCTCTTAGAAGCTATCCATTCTTTGTTAAATGTACGATTTATACCAATTTAAAATGCATGCAAACAAATACATGGAATGCTGTAATCAAAAGTTAATTATTGTAAATAAAAATAATATACAAGCGTTTTGATAAACTTGAGTGATTTAAACGAAAAATATGACTTGCAAACGAAACTAAATCAGAACAATATTCAACAATGATTTTCTATTGTTGGCAGGTATCTGTAGTTAATTGTAACATTTACTGACGTAAGTTCCAATGAGATCGGATTCGGATTAAGAAATCTTAATTTTAAGAGGACATTTTCACACTCAAGAAATTCAAACAAACAAACAAACAGAAAAGGTTGCCTGAATTTCAAGAGAAATCACGTACACACGAGGGAAAGCCCATATACAGTTCCACAAAAAGTTCCCCTTACACAATGCATTACTGTTTCCTCATATAGAATTATGATGATCGATATAATTTACGATTGTTATAATGCATCTAAAGCTCTGCATTGTGACCTACATCGTCGTAGCTCTTCAGATGACAGCTCGTCTCGTTTGGTGTGAGAATCTTGTGAGTCTTACCCACGTTCCAGTATACTTGCTGAACAACGATGTGAATAACAGGATAATCCAGCTGTATTTGAGTGTCTAAATCGATTCATAGTTCTCTTGAGATATCTTTTTTTATCAAGTTTTACTGAGGTAGAAAACGACATCTTATTAAAGGACAAGATTAATTACATTCCAAAAGAATAGCATGATTCACGTTTATATCATTTCATTTAAATTGAAACGTTAACGGTTAACTCTTACAACTAGACATTCCTTCTATTTAACAAAGCTAGACGTGGAATTTCCACAGATCCTCCACAGATCCCTTATGTTAGCTGCATCAGCCAATGTTATTCTCAAAATTAACATATCCATATTTTTCTTAAACTTCGATAGCAAACATTTCTATGAGATTTTTTGGATGCCGTCCATTCAATTTAAAAATTTTAATCTGTTAAAATCATTTTAAATTGTAATTGTTTATTTACTTAACACATACCACTGGAAAAATTGAAATGAATTTTTGTTAACACAACACATCCAATAACTACATGTGAAAAAGACAAGTGAACTATCGCACCATTTCTCGCATGTGGAAACCC